AGGAAGCGTGTTCAAAGTCTGTAGATAAGATTAGCAGAACGGGGTCATTTGCTTTGCTCACACAAGTGATGGCCAACCTGTTCGGGTGGCACCTTTCGCTAGGTCGGGCCCTTGGCTTTACTCAGGGTCACTGCATTGAGATGACAAGGTGTCCAAGGAACCATCAGCATCACTTTGGTCAATGCTGAACTGTTATGCTAAGTATTCCCACCTGGAATTTCACCTGTCCGGTTGGTGAGCTCTGAGTGGCAGGTAACCAGGTGTTTTGTTAGCCAACAAGCCTGGCCTCGTGTCCCAGCGATTTCTGTAGACAATGTTTCTTACAGACATTTATGAGATTCACGTTTCTGCATTGCATGCAAATACCAACCGACCTAATCGCTCTGAAAATCCCTTTGTCCTTTGAGATATTCCAGGTACAAAACTATGGAAAATACATAGTTTCCTTAGCAAATAAATACTGACCACATGGGTGCACACACACTGAAGGACAGCAAGCAGAGCCAAGGATGCTTGCATATAGATAGCAAAATCGAGAAATTGTATAAGCTTCGATATTTTCAAGAAGGTAGACAGATAAAATATGGTTGCAAAAGAGGTGGATTTTTGTGGATGAGGACAAATACGGTAATGCACTTTCGATGGGGAATTTCTGTGCACCGCCTAATAAAGGTGTGTGAATTAATGCTCATCTTTTGTGATATATAGATGGGGAAAGCACAACCCTCCCATTCAATCTGAGCATCGCTCTGGGGCAGAACCTGCTCGTTGGCTTCAGAAAGGCATCGTAGTTGTTCTTTCATTCTCTGGCCATTGCTGGACAGGGACATTCAGGTGATGCTGAGCAATTAAGTGTATTTCTGTGCTCTGAGACAGCAGTAAATAAAACCTCTCCTACTGCATGAGCTTTAAATAAGGATGTTGGATAAAAATCTAGTTTTTACACAGACTAGGTCGTGGTGCCCGTTCTGGCTGGGGCTAAGGTGGGGTTAAGAGCTTGGATTCTTGGATGATAAAATTTTACATACTGGTCTTTTCATATATCTACCTCAAGATGGAAATCTGCCAAGATTAGGTATTGCTGAGATCACACTGAGACGTTTTGCTGTTTAGTGAGATCTGTCACGTTACTGTCCCACCAGTCGTCTACAGCACTCGCTGTGCAGAATGCTCTGTGCTATATTATATCCTGGCTCCTCCAGGAAAGAGCTATTAAAATTACGCTATGGTTCAATTACTTTATTTCCCCACTTGACCTCTCGCTTTACCTACTCTTTCATGCGGGCCTGATTGCTCCCGTTAGATACTTGCCATCTTGGTTTTCCTATACTCAGTAAGAGAAAATTCCTGCCAGCTTGGAAGCATAAATTTTCAGTTTATCTTCTCCAGCTTGTAGCTTCTCTGCAAGATCCAGGGAGCAGAGTTTGGCTGCTGAACGTAGATAATTCATCTACTCCAGCCTAGCCAGGGTTCTGGTACGCAGGCTGTATCCCACCACAGTTATTCCGAATGTTATCCCTCTTCTTGTCATCCCTTCACTGACTCCTACTTCTTTGCTATAAGAACAAGCTACTCTTTTATTTTTTTCATTCCCAGGAATCTCTTTGGCCTACTGGAACCAACTTTGCAGCCTCTCATATAATTGACCAGTGGTAGATATCTATCCTCATCTCTTTTTTATAAGGATGCAGAAAAGGGAAGCCAGGACTTTTTAATTCTATGCTAATAAAGATCCAAACATGACAGAATGACTAGAAATTCTAGTCAGTGCTCATGAAACATGCAGTAACTGACACTATGGCTCCACAGAGCAAGTTAAACTTCCATCCTGAAATGCTCAGCTGTAGTAAATGAGAGCTGCTCCTTCTAGCCAAGCACAATTTCGGCCCAAGGTGTTTGCCTTCTAAATTATTATTTTTTAATATGGGTCCTGATGATAGCAGTTTAAATAAAGTTCTGAACTCATCTATTTTATTCTTAATTTATAGTGGTGCTTAGGGGATGTGCGGATATTTAAAAAGAGTAAAATCAATTAACTCATGATCCAATTATTTGTGTTAGCCACTGTGGGATTTTATTTTAGAGCACTGAATCAGCTTCTCCTGGTTAAGCACTGTGCTTTAGGAATGCAAATCTTTCATTTTGAAACATGATGAACCTGTGGTTATTTTTTCTCTGCTTGCAAATCTAATTTCTATTTTTGTGCTTACATAGTTGTTAATTTCCCTTTTTTCTTTTGTTTTTGTAAGGGAATCAGTATAAACATAACATTTTTTTGCAAGACAAGAAAGCCTATTCTTTATGTGAGAGTAGCTAAACAGGCTAGAGAGTTCATCTTCTAGATAATATATGCTGTATTTTTCAGGGCATTGCTGTTTCGCAGGTATTTGTCTTTCACAAACACAGATCTGTTATTTATTATACTTTTCAAGCTATAGAGTATAGCCATACGATTTCTCTGATTTGATCACTCTGCTTTTTCATCCCTCTTGAATTTAGTGAAATTTTAGTGAAACATTCCAAACAGCTTCAGACACCTGCTGTGTTAATATGGCTATTTCTAAAATGTGGAGAACACCAGGGGTGAATGTGCCGTGACAACTGGTGACACCAGGGTGGACGTTGCTGTGCAGATGAAGATGCAGCTCTGCAGTTTCATGTCCCCAGCAAATGTGTGTGCCCTTTCTGCCTTGCTAGCTCGCTGTCTCTGAAGACCAAGAGACATTTTCCTAAATAACAAGAGAATAAGGATGCAGAAGACAGTCAATCCCAGCTGAGTTATCCCTGAATTAGAGCTGTTAAATGGCATTCAAGAGTTTTTGAGCTAGGCATTTCTGGCCATCTTTTCCATCATAATGTGGCATCCTCAATGGGATAAGCGTAATAAATTAATCTCATGGGCTTAAAAGTAAAATAAAAAAATAAAATGGCTAGATTTTAAACTACATACCAGGTCGTACTGTTCCCAGCATGATTCAGGGAGTGCTGAACACAATAAAATCTGAAAAATGGATTAAGAACATGATTTTTCAGAAGGATCAGTACGAGTTATTGATCAATATGAATTAGGAACAGAAGCCCGGTCAATTGAAGGGTTTGATTCTTAAGGCTTAAGCTTCCTTGAAATCTAGTTGGCTTTTTGCATAGCTTAGAGGAAAACTGTTTGGTGCTGAAGTCTTGCTGGGAAAAAATTCTGACCCTTAATGTACTGATGTTTTGTTTTATACATATTCAATGGAGCTGGGATAAATGAAATATTATAAAATAACAATCAGGCTAATTGCCTGTTTTCAATTAGAGTAAGAATTGTCCAAGGGTACTTTCGGGGGCCAGCATTTTGCTGAGTATGATGGAACACCATCTCAGTAATGATTGCTCCATTATTTCCAAGATTCTTAATAGCGTGTTTCTTTCGATGTGTTTCAAAGTAAGCTCAAATATTGTTGCAGCATTGTTTAAGGTTAATTGAACTGCAGATGAGTTTAATGATCTGCTCGAACCAAAGCTCAATAGCCACCTGTTATATATTAGTACCAAAATGAAAAAAAACTTTAAATTCCTTCTTAAATATACCAGAGAAGATAAAAATAGCCATATGTCATCCTATCATATTATCATATGTCAATAATGTCATCCTTTTATAATGTCAGATTTGAGGCTAGAAAACTTGAAATGAATGCATGCATTCCAATTGTGCAGCTAAATTGAAATAGGACTTGAAAACATCAGTTAAATCTGGAGGAATGAAGGAGAAGAAGACAAAGAAGAGAGTTGTTCTCCTCTGTGTTTTAATATCTGGAAATTTATTTTACCTTCTAAGTATCTAGATTATGAAATATATATATACTAACAAAGTTCTATATTTTAGTTTCTGTACTCACAGAATTTTCTATGGTGTTATGAATTAACATGGACTTTTAGTTTATTTCAGTCTTGAAGCCACTTGATTTTTGTGTCTGCTTGATGTATCGGACACTTTCACTGGCAATATAGCTTCTAGGAGGTACACAAATGATAAAGCCTATTTGTGTCATTAAAGTTTGTACTCCTGAACTTTTGAAGCCTAGATCTCCAGAAATGCTAAGATTTCATGATCATCTAAAACGGTACTGCTGATGTTCAGCACTTCTCAGGATTAGCTATGTTATTGTTCTAGTTTATCCACCTATAAAGTAGGAATTATCTTATCACTCATATATATAGTGCTTTTAGCATGTCAACTGCAAGTATTTGAAAGGTGAGGAGTATTATTAAGTCTGACCCTTACAAGCTTTTCCAATGGTTTACAGAGTGTTTTTGCAGCACATAAATAAGAATAATGCTGAGGTATGCCGTGTGGCTGGATGGCAAATTAGAGAACATTTGCTCAGACAGGGCTTAGCTATCCCAATAGTACAATAGAGCAGCAAACTTCCCAAGGTCATAACAAGTTTCCCCACTGAAAAGTAAAAGTAATCCAGACTTACAGTTTTGCAGACAAAGCAGTAGCAGGAACTCCAATTATTTTAGAGTCTCTAAGAGAAAAAATAATAATAATAAAAAATCAGGTTGGGACACTTTCAGTGAGAAATGGTTTTTTTATATAGGTAACAGTGTGGAGTAACTCTATAAAAAGTATATTCTGAAGGGCAATAAATAACAGCAAATTGGGGGGCACGGATGGGCTGTATTAATCAGCCCCATCCAGTGCTGAGGGTTGAATATAGTTTGGCTTTGGGCAGTATGCACACGTAAGCAGTCCTGTCCATACAGCAGGATGCTGAACTTATGGTCAGGCTCTTCCCAGGCCTGATTCCTCTCAGGAGAGGCAGGAGTATTGCTGCAGGTCTGTCCTCGGATAAGTAAAAGGGAAGAACAGCACTAACATACGGCCTAGTATTTCATGAGTGACGTCTCATCTTCTTCCTGCCATGGTACATAGCTAATGCTGGTTTGAATACCTCTCGTAATGATGTTTTGGCTGAAAACAGCATCAGTTTCCCGTACGCTTTCTTTCCTAGTTTCAAGCCACGGTTAAGGAGGGGGTCACCGGTGTGATAGTCAACTTGACCGTGGGAGACCGGGACGACCCTGCCACGGGCGCCTGGAGAGCCGTCTACACCATCATCAACGGGAACCCGGGGCAGAGCTTCGAAATCCACACCAACCCGCAGACCAACGAGGGGATGCTCTCCGTGGTGAAGGTAGGGACCGCTTGTACTGCACTCCTACTAGAAGCTGCGGCCGCTGGATTTACAGCATGAGAGGAAACACAGCGAGGATATAGCAGTACACATGGCTAACAGCCCTCCTTTCCTTTGACCCACATGTATAACTCATTTTCTGTTACAGTAACTATGCTTTTTCAGTGATAAGGACCTGTCCATTACGAGCTATATTGCAGTTGCTTTAGGTAAACGCTGGTTTGTAGAGATCGCACTCCATTAACAGTGAGGCTTTACGACATGGCTTTATTTGTGACCCAAGGCACAGTTAGAATTCAAGGGACCGTACACAGTGCGAGTGCCAGGGAAGCAGGGGACATGCCAGGGAAGGCTTCAGACTCGACAGGAGAGCCACCTTTGGTCCCACATTTCTAAAGTTTCTGTCTGTGTGTGAAGACAATCCTATATCTCACACTGTTAGGAAAAAAAATAGAAGTGATTGCTAGCTATACCAGAATTTTCTATATTTGATTTCAGAAGAGGCATGTTCACTGCTGAAGTGGAAACATTTTTCTGTGACATTGCTTTTGATATATCAGTAGGAATTGATAAAGCAGCCTTATGCTACTTATAATTCATACGTTTTAAGTATAACTATGTTCTGCTTGGTAAATGCATATTACATCAAAAATAAGCATATATTCATATATTTACATAAATAAGCATGTATTCCTGCTTATTTATATGTGTTTATATACATATATATGCATATGTGTATATACATATGAGAGAGCAAGAGCATATGTATATGCAGAGTTATGTATTTACTACGTATTGTGAACTGCATAGTAAATCAATGAAAACACATCCACATCTTCAATATTTTTCAGTGCACTTTGTAACTACCATCAGGTCTAGTGCTAAATTCTGACAAAGTCTCAAATGTAATAAATGCTGGTGTCCTTCCTGACTAATTCTGTCTCCGGCAAAGCTTGCACTGGGGTAGGAGGAAAAAAGTGTTAAGGATTCTCTTTGCACCTTGCATTCTGATTTCATGACATGTTTTACAGCCTTTAGACTATGAGATTTCAGCATTCCACACGTTGCTGATCAAAGTGGAAAATGAAGACCCGCTGATTCCAGACATCGCCTATGGCCCCAGCTCCACGGCAACGGTGCAGATCACTGTTGAGGATGTGAATGAAGGTCCCGTTTTCCACCCAAACCCAATGACAGTGACAAAACGAGAAAACATCCCCGTGGGCAGTGTTGTGTTAACGGTTAATGCCACCGATCCAGATACTTTGCAGCATCAGACTATCAGGTGAGTGCAGTACCCTCTAATTTGCGTCTGTCAAAAACTGACTGTGTCTCCTGCGCCTGTCAGTACAGTATTAAATTAAAGTTGTTTGGGCTCTGGACAGTAACAGGTGGCAATTTTTTTCCAACAATGCAGAGATTCAGTATGAAGGAGACAAAGAACTGCATTAGACAACAGTTTTCCAGGCTATAGGATATCTGCAGTGGAACAACTGAGTGCCACAAGCAATAGTCACAGCTTAGCATATAATGTTTCAAAATGACACCCTACCTGCTTTTTTCATTCCACCCTCACCTTGATGAGACCCAGAGAATTTATGTAAAAGTTGCAAACCAGTTGCTGAAATCACTTAGCTGTTTAGCGTATGGATTAAGTTGATGTATGATGATTTCTAATATCCCCTAGAGAAATAATGGTCATCCATCTGTATTTGAGAGCTAAAAGAGAGGATATACTCCTCAGTGAAACACGGGGGCTATTCAGTTGACTTAGAGTTGCCCTCACCAAGATCGGTACAAGGAAATGCTGATTTCCGTGCTATGATGAAGTAATTGCACAAATAAGCCCTTTTATGAGGAGCAATTCTGGGTATTAAGTGGTGTCATTTTCTTGTGTTCAGAGAATGCTGAATCTATTACAAGTCTCTTTGGTGACCCATGAGTGCTATTTGCCTAATATAAATCTGCCAGGATGGTGTGAAGGTGCTTGTTATGCCCTATCAGGATTACAAGCAGGTAGTGCTGCTTCCCAGAGCTGTGGAAAAAACTAACATTATTTTGTGAATTCAAAGAGCGTGTAGTTTTTGTAGTAGAAAGTGGTACCTCTACCTCTAGGAAGTTGAACAAAAAATTTAAATGAATGGATAAATCATATCTTATTTCCTACTTTCCTATTGCAGTATATCCAATATGCATTGGGCTACCGGAGGAAAAATAATAAATTGCTTTCTTGTTTAATATCAAATTGCAAAATCTAATTTCCCCTATATTTCAGGGGATATGTGTAAGAGCCTTGTGAATCTTTGTGAACATGGCTTGAAAGCTTTGCCTGGCCACTGTCAGCCTGTACCATGACCATAGATTTCCCCACCATCCCAGGCTTGCTTAGCAGTGGTTGTGCACGTTTGACATATGCCCTGTTTTACCAAAAACGAAGGCTACTGATCTTGAAGATGTCTTGGGTCAGGGATAAATGTTGATAAGCTTGTGATTGCGAAGGATTGCTGTGACAGCCTTGGGCTAGAATGATGGGGAGTTGAATTTAACAGGTGGCTGTGCTCATCTGCATGGGAGGAGTGAAAAAGGCAAAGCAGGTAATCAGAAGTTTCAATTCTTTTGATCACCAAAAAAATACCTGGTTAACAGAGTATAAATATTTCAGTTCTCTATCGAAAATACCTTTGAGCTCTACCATATAAATATCAGCTTCTCTGAAGGATGGTTTTAGCAGATGTCATTTCCCTCGTGTTATAAATGTACTTTCCTATAAAATGCATTTTTATTCTTAATTTTCATTTTTGCTCCAGGGATTTTTTATTTCGTTCACTGTTGTCATACAGATTTGTGTTGATGGATGGACAATCTATGGAGTTTCTGTTGCATGTCAGATACAGCAATCCGACCCTCAGCTGCATTATTCAGAATCTAGTTTATGTAGAGGAAAATATTATTTCCTTTGGGATCGTGACTGAATTTAAGAAATATAGTTATTCAAGTTATTTATAACTAAATATTTCCATGAGAGAGAATAAAAGTCTTATTAATTATTGTGACATTTGATTTTGCAATGCTAAAAGAGAGAAATGCCGAGAGAATACACAGATTTGCCTATCAAAATCAACAATCCAGAATGTATTATCTGCATTTCTAGTGGGTATACTGGAGCAGAAATTGCAGGTATTATCCACCAGTAATCACTGAAAATTTTAATTTGATTTTAAGTGCTGTGTGTAACCGGCAAATAGCATCAATAGTTTTTCTGTCCACCACATCTCCCAGCTGACTGCAAAGGAGATATCAAAGCTCGACTATTACTAGCCATAAGCTAAGCAGAAATTTCCCAGACCTCAAGGCTTAATATTGGGCCATATCTGCATGGGGGGATTTTTAGCCTGAACTCTTTCTCTCTCTCATTCTACATGTGCAGAAGTAAGGTAGTTTGTATTGGGAATGAAGAGTGATCACATATAGAAATTATTTAAATGGCTATATAAAGTTAAGAGAAAATAATGCAAATGTAATGGGTATCTGGAAAATAATGGAGTGATTCCAGAAAGGCTGATTTGACTACCTATACGTCCTCCTTTTGCTAAAATAATGGGAAAGCATAAAATATAAAATAGCATTTTTAAAAGGTGCTTTTAACACTGACAGGTAATATTGAAACACGTAGCTGTTAGTAGAAAAAGGAAAAGAAAAGACTTTACAATATATGAGAACAGCATCTGCAATTAGGATAGTGTAAAATTCATGTATAAAAGCCAAAACCACTCACCAGGTTGAGTTTGCGGGTTTGGCAGAAATATTTTCTGTCAAATTTCTGCAGGCAGGTGTGTGCATGAAGTCTTGCCTAGATCCAGGGCTTATACAAGGAGAGTTTGCTGGTTGTGCTAGTCAAGGCTTTTGCTTAGGAATACTTGATTTATGGAGATTGCAAATCAAACTCCATCCTTCTCTGTCTGCCCTGCTGTAAGCTGCATCATCAGAGCCCTTGCTGTGGTTACCCTGGCAAAATAAGGGCCAAGCAGGCACAACACTAAGCTTTAAACTAGATATTACTCTAAATACCAGTGACCATGATCGAATAGTGCTTTGTGTCTGCATTATGCAATGAATACCAGATTTTTGTTACATGTGCTGTGTGGACATCTCTACACTATCCCCAACATGGTATATGTCTGTGCAAAATACACCAATGGATGCAAACAGCATCGGATCAGAACATTATTAATGTTACCTGCTTTATTTCCAACCTATAGCAACTGGGATATAAATCTGTTTAACTGCAGGGATGTTTTTTGTTAGTTTGCTATATTAGCTTGTAGGAAGGGCTGATGACTATTTGTAATCAGGAAATTAAGTTACTCTATTAGATATAGGTTCCTAAATGCATTTCAAGAACGATGGATAAGGGGTATAGAAACCTTGTGTGCCGTTGTCCAAATCTAGATTGAATTTATTCTTTGAACATCGCATCTCTGAGTCAGATTCAAATTACTTATCTCTTTGAAAAACATGGCTTGCGTTGTAGAGATTCCTAACGACAGCTGTACTTTTGACACAATTTTCTTTCTTATTCTTCAGCTTGAAGTGTCTTTGCAGATCGAGAAAGCATTTCATTTAAAAGCTAAAACAAGCTAGCAAAAATGTATTACACTGAAAAAAAAAAAGAGATTCCAAGTGTTTGTGTGGCTCAAAAGCGTGCAGCTTCGGGTCTAGCTCTCAGTTTGCACATGATAAGCGGTGAAGTCGCGTGGTGTCAGCTCTGCTCTGATCTCGTGGGGTTAACATTTCAAAGGAGCCCAATGTAGAACTGTCATCCTGGAAAGAAGACCTGCATGCTCATCTCGAGGAGCTAAATCATGTAGGCGTCAAGTTTAATCTTACTCTAAATCCTACCTCTTGCAAACTAGATTAAGAGTGACTTTCACAGCTATACGCATGCCTGTAATTCCCTAGGAGAGGTCTGCAATGAGTAGGGTGAGTTTTGGACCACGAACCTCCTGGAAAGAAAGGAGGAGACCGAACCGCTGGATTTTCCTGAATCCCTAACTTTGTTGTGGAAGGTTGCATTTATTCCTCTGGGATCACTCCCAGAAAGTAAAGAAGCGTGTTTGAGAGCGATCACACGTCTTAGATTCATTAACCTATTTTTAAAATACTTAATTCCCTTGACAGTTTCCAACTTCTTTTAGAAAAAGAAGAAATCCAGCAGGGCCCATATTAATTATAAACCAACAATTTATTAATAGGACAGTAATGAAGTTTCTGAAATTTGATTTCTTAATCAGGGATCATTGTTATTTTTGTGCCAGATTTAAGAGTTTAATTTTGGGTGCCTCTTCCCAACCTCTGAAATTTTAATCAGAAGTTTCAAGTGTACATGTCAATGAGAAGTTAAAGGCCAAATTTAATAACATTTTCTACCTTGGGAAATTAAAAGAAGAGCCTCACTCTCTGAAATCTATTATTAACAGTAGATCTTAATTAAACACAGTTACGGTCCTCAATATTTTGCCTATGTGGAGATATTGGTTTAAGTATTTTTTCCTTTTTTGGATTCAACATGTCCAGGATATTCAATAGTCAGACTTTTAACTATGTGTAAATAAGTTGTTTACTGCAGAGTATTTGTAATTTTTAATTAAAGCAGTGTTCTTCCCTGGTTTCATGGTTTATCATGGCAATATATTTTTATTACCTACTGTGCTTTGGATTTTAAATTATTTATGTAAATATATTATTGCGGTATTTATTCACAGTAAGTGATGTGACTCAGTGCTTCAGAAATATCTTCACAAGAGAAGTTTATTATAGCTCTAAAGCATATCTAATTCATTAAATATAATTAAAATGCAGTATTTGAAGCAGGAGAATTTAGAAAAGGAACCCAAACTGCAGTGAGCTTCACAGGAATACAAAAAATCACCAAAGTATTTGAAACAATATATGCAACTAAGATACATATACATATATATGTTTGTGTATGTATCATTTTCTCCACCTGAAACTGACTCCAGCTGGACAACAGTCTGTCCATTGACTTTGGGAATGGGAACGTCTCCTAGTGTGGCGAATTTTGCTTGAGATTACATCGTTGCAGCTCTGGGGTTAGTGGAATTGGCTGATGCCCATGCAAACGTTCCTATATTTGCTGAAAGTGAAATCATGGTTTGCTTCATCTGTGTCCAAAAATGAAGTGATTGCCCAAGCTTCTCTAAAACAGTGATGAAACGATGCTGGAATAGGATTCGTAATTCAGCAAGTTTCCTCCGAATCTCAAGT